GTGCCTTGCAGAAACTCTTCAATTCCCTGTTTCGGCCACGGTTGTGTTTGGAAGACTATGTTCCTCTTGACCCCCCCGATTTTCCGATCATCCACTTCCATGATTTGTGGGAAGAGGGTATCCCCTAGTCTTTCTCCCTCCCCCTCTCCCTCTCCCTCTCCCTCTCCCTCTCCCTCCCCCACCCCACCCCACCCCACCCCACCCCACCCCACCCCACCCCACCCCACCCCACCCCACCCCACCCCACCCCACCCCACCCCACCCCACCCCACCCCACCCCACCCCACCCCACCCACCCCACCCCACTTCCACGATTGTTGGACAGAGGGCAACTGGATTTGAATTTCAAGTTCGATTTTTCCTATTTTCAGCAGCACGAGAAGACTCACTTGTTCAAAGCCGACCTTTTTGTTTGCAAAGCTTAGACCATGTTTTGGTCATGGCCCCGAAAGGTCAACCATGCATTTCATGTCCGCAAAGGTTGATCACCTTTGTTTTCTGGGTCCTTGAGCAAACTGAAAGAAGAAGCGGTTTTTTTTCCAGTTTTTGTTTGTCTCCTCATGGGGGGTAATCCGCGGTTTGCTTTTGAGTGCCTTTGAGTTAGTTTCCCCCATGCTGCCAAGCCTCAAAGAGATGTGCCCATTTGAGGGTGTCTTGTTCTGAGGGTACCATATGTGTGTTTGTGTTTAAAGGAAAGCCAAAAGGAAAACCACCTCTTTTTGAGGTCTGAGAAAAGACGAGCCATTCATTTGGAGCAGATGGCTTGAGGTTGCAAATCCTGGAGATGCAGGCACGAAAAAGGGATAGGCACCCAGGGGGGGTGTGGCCCCGAAAACAGAAGGGGCGCTCGTTTCGGCTGGCTTTCAAAGGGGAACCAAGCTGGGTCCGCCAGCGATTGGTGCCCTTTCTCACCCCCTTTTTTGGTTGGGAGATTCGGTTCCCCTACTAAGATCCACAACAGAAGAAAGTTGGTACCCTTATTCTAACCTCTCTACTGGAGGACCTAGCAGGAATCATCCAATTTCTGTTGTTTAGGGTCTCCAAGACTAAAGTGAACCTCAACAAGCCAAAAAGAGACTTTCTCAAGAGATTCCCGTAGAGATGACTTTCAGGGATGCCGTTACCCCAAAAGCCAATCCGACCGTCGCTGACGTTTTTTTTGGGGTTTGGGGATGACCCCAGAAGAATCCCCAGTCTATTTCTGGGAAGGTCCCTCGGGAAATCAGACTGGAGCAAGGCTTTCTCAACATCACCCAGAGATCCCCGGCCCCGGAGCTCGCTGGAAGCCTAAAATCTGGCCAAAGCTAAGCAGAGACATAGCCTTCAGCTGGGAATTACATGTCCCGCAAATGAGTCTCCTCGTGCCGCTCGCACCACATCGCCTGGAAACAAAAGGCCCACTGGCAAGATGATTTTCGGATCATTGTAGGTATGTGATTTCGATGTTTCTCGCAGATATGGGTCTCTGCCTCTTGTTGGGATTTGGACCCCTCCTCAAAAACGAGCGATGTTCCTTGTGGTGTCCAAATCAGGAAAAATAAAAACTCTCAAACAAAGACGCCCATATTTTCATTTGTAGCCTCGCGCCCCACGAAGGATATTGAAAGCGTCTTTCATATGCCTGATTTGCGGCTGAACTAACTGATTCACGCAGCCAAAATGAATCAACCGTTTCCTCAAGCGATGGGCGTTAGTAATATAAGAATCCGCCTTTCTCGGATTCATATTTTCCAGATTCTCTGAGCAGCAAAAAAACGTGCCGGTTGAATCCCTATTCTGAGGAAAGATCTTCTCGGAGACGGTGCTTGGTGCGTGCCGATATTTGATTCTCTATGTCCTGTCCTCGAAAAGAGATATCATACGGTTGGACAGCTTCAACCACTCACCCAAAATGTCAACCGTTGATTTCTGGGTCCCCAAGTTGGGCAACTGAGGTAGGGCTTTGGTGTGTAGCTTCCCTGACAAACTTACTCCCGGCCGTGTTTGGCAGGCGCACTCCCTTACGTTACTTTTCATCCCGCTCCCGACCGAACGTCCGTTTCGGACTTAAGTGAAGTCACTTTTGGGATTGGGAAGGCCATTCTCGTGGTAAACAACAAGTGTGGTTACTTTATGTTGGCCAATCCACTCGCTCGGGTTCTGTACACCAGACAGAGGTTGCGTTGAATGGCTCCAAGCGACCAGTGCGACGCTTTTGTTTGGAGGCGAAGATTGATGACAAGCTGTGGTGGCTGAGATCGAGCTTCGGCAGCATGTCGGTAGTGATGTCGACTGAAAGTGAATGACTCTTATTGGGGCACAGCCACTATCACTCCACCTGGGCTGTATTTCTACTCCCTATGAGACAGCTGCATACTCAGCCGAGGGATCCTGTGAGCGAATGCTGTCATCTTTCCCAATCGTCAAGCTCACCGGTTGAAGCAAGGTCACCATAACAGAGGTGCATTTTGCTTGGTTGTTAGGACTTTAACTTTTTGTCAACTAATGGGTTTTCCATTAAACCACTCAAGGTTAAACTTTTAGCAGGGGAGCAGAAAGCAACCGAGATAAAGCAACGAAGACCCCTTCGGGCATTCCCTAGTTCCACGTTTGGGACATGTCAGTGCGACCTTCTTCGATTGGGGGGTTAGGGTCTTCAAAAGTGGTCTAAACCACACACACACGCCGTTTTAATCAACAAGGGGTTCCACGATCCGAGGTTCCCATAGCCCCATTCATTGAAGCTTCCAGCAAAACAGGACTTTGAATGGCCATAGGAATCCGGGCGGTTTCCGGGCTTCCAGATTCCCCCACCAGTTGCGCATCTTGGTCAAAGCATCCGGGTGCCATACCAAGCTTGTAATGCAGTTTTTACCCCTTTTATCTCAGCGGATGAGATACATGCCTTCAAAGCCCATACCTGGAAGTTCGGTTATGTTGGAACTGCGGTACAAGAACCTAAACCTGTGGCTGTGGCTCGAAAAACCGGTACCAACGTGGAACCCTGGTAAGTTGAAACATGGAACACAACCTGCGTAACCCATCCTGTTTAATTTTGAGCCACACCCATGTGATGCTTTTTACGGAAAACAAGAGCTAAGGTTTCCTTGGGCAAATAGAGAACCTTTGCTCAGGGCTTCGAGGTGCCTGTTTCCGTGTTTGTTTTTTGGTTTTTACAGCAACTAGGTCCCCCAGGATCGTGCCCTTTCTCACCCCGGGAGGGTTCCCCTACTAAAATAGACTACAGAGAAAAACATGGTACCCCTTATTCTAACCTCTCTACAGGACCTAGAAGGTTTCTAGGTTTTATCCCTTTCACAGAAACTTTCGCAGATCAGCCGAGGGCTCTGTACGGAAAGACCGCGCTGCAGCTGCCCTTTACCATGAAGGGCGACAGCTCGCAGCTCGGCGGAAAAAAACTGCAGAGGAGTTTTTGCCATTTTTTGGATCAGTGAACTCTGGTCGGGCCCTGGAGTCTCCTTCTTTCTGATTCGAATCAGAAGGAGACCTGGAAGGTAGGCAATCAAATCACATCCAATCCAGAAATATCATCAAAGATTTCGCCATGAGTCGGGCATCCGACCCCTGGTACACTCCCTCCCAAGAGTCATGGAAGCTGACCGGAGGGTATTGGAAGTCGATTTTCTTTTCGTTTGACGCCCAGATCGTCCATTTCACGCTGGGAAGAGGCTAACCCCTAGTTTGCCATTTTCTGAAATGAAGATTTGTGATTTCCCCGGTTGGTTTTAAAGGGAAGCGATTTCGCTACTGGAAACATGTGTTTTGTCCAGGGGATTGCAGCAAACGGAATAGTTGGTGGTTTGGATCGGGTTGAGAATTTGAAGCGCTCCAAACCACCCAGCAAAGCCACAAAATCGAGAGAAGCTGATACTTTGTTTGGTCCCTGTTTGGCCAAATGGTGATGAGCTTGACTGATTGTAGCGGTTATGTTTGAAAAACATCCGCGTGATTTCATCCGATGTGCATTCTCCAAAAAGGTGTTGACATTGGAGGTTGGGCAGTTGCCCCGTTGCGCATTCTGCTTACTTGGCACTGGAAAAGCAGGGCCCGAGACCTCCACCTCAAGTATGTGCTTATTATTATTAGTATTATTATTAGTTATTATATTCTTTATTATTATTATTATTATGATCTTTTCTCCTGTAGCGAGCGACTCGATATTTCCCTTGTATCCAGGTTCTCACCTCCATCTCTTAGGGCCCTTTCAAGGCTTTGGTTAAGCAATGGCGGTGGTTGGTTGGGCACCCTTTCTTTTTACTTGGGGTTGGTGGGGTTGGTCAACCACCTTTCTAGGAAGCATGGCCCGGATCGGACCCAGTATTTTCAGAAAAAGTCCCTGAATAGGATGGTGTGACCCATTTTAGAAACCTGGTTCAATGCGGGTGAACCGGAACAGATGCATTTCTATGTTTCCCGTAAGCCAACCGCAAGGGGCATGGTGTTCGTTCTTCGACCCCCGGACCGTCCCCGGACCCTGGGACGGCCGCCCTAACACCCCAGCACCCAGGCACAGCTCCTCCAACTGTGCTCTCTCTTATTTTTTTTGCGGGCAGGCCAAGTATGGATCTTACAAACAAAAAACACAAGTTCCAGATTCGGGTTAATGGTCAGGGTTTAAGAGTTGAGCAACCCTGTATATGTTTTTCCCAGAGGCTCCTGGGGCTTTCAATGGAAAACCCGACCCCTCCATTAGACACCCCGGAGGTGTTTGGGGGTCTCAAAACCCGGCTGTTTGAGGGCCCTAAATTGATCGAACTTGAGCGTCTGGGTTATGCTTTTCGCTCCTGTCACAAAGGGGAGTTCACCAAGAGCTTCCGAGTCGAGGACCAATCAGTGGGTAGACGTGCTGCTGCGCGGAAGCACCACGCAGCGAAAGGCTGCGAAGGCTGGATATTGGCATTGGTTTTGCGGGTTCCCCCAGCCAGTCCTTTTTAGGCAGGTTTGCAGGGAAACCAACAGGGAAACCACAGGTTGTTGGGTTTTGTTTTCGTTTTTTTGGAGACCTTTGAAAGGCGAGTGAGTTCAGTGCTGTGGAAGACGTTGGGATAAGCAAATGTTTTGGGGGGAGGGCTCCCCTGCTAAAATAGAATACAGAAAAAAGGGTACCCTTATTCTAACCTCTCTACTGGAGGACCTAGTTGGGCTACCCTCCTCTCCACTAACTACGTGTTGAGCGCCTTTTTGGAACAGATCAAAACCTATTGCACCTTCGGGCCGAAGAAGCAAGCGCAACGGCACCATTTGATAGCCCGGTGCTGGCAACAGTTTCCTCGGCCCTTGTGTTCGCCAGAGGTACCCTCCTGTCCACGAAAAGGAAAACTGGCTGGGTCCTGCACGAATTTGTTTCTTAGAAGGGGCCCCTGGTGGGTTCCATGGCAACGTGGACAAAAGGTATATAATGGGAACCCCGGATGAAGTGAACACCCTGGTTGATTTTGATTGGGAACTGCCGGATTCAGACCACTCTTAGAGGTCACTGTCTGAGTTTGGAATGACCATTTGAGGGGTAAATCAAAAGCTATGTTGTGTTTTTTTGTTTCTTCTGGCAACGTATTCTGGTATACGGTCTTTGCTTTGTGCGTGCGTTTGGGGGGAACAGGGGCCCGAGCCACTCCGTGGAAAAACAGAAGTGTCATCATTACTCAGATCGATGTGAGTGTTTCCCTCGATTCACGGGCCCTTCTGTCGGAAGGGAAGCCAAATCTTACCAGATGAGTTAGCAAACATGAAACACTTTTTGCTGGTGTCATCATCTTAGTATCACTGCCTGAGTTCCTGGACTTGTTTTTTTTTGTGGATGACCAGTTTCGGCTCAGGAGGTGAGGCGCAGAAAGTTCGAAGCATGGCCAGTGAACTCGTCAATTCAGGCTTTCCAGCCATCCGCGGGGACCCTGTTGAACGTTTCAGGCCTTGGGGTTCCATGTTCGCTTCAAGGTTAGCATGAAGGATCACTCGTGCTGGCTCATTTGGGAAACCGAGCGTTTGCCCACCTAAGATTTGGCCAGCCGTGTTTTATTCAGGCATGCGAATCACTCTGCATTTGACTGCAGGCTCTGAGATACATCCACCTCTCCCAGATCCACGTGTTACGTGTCAGAAAGCTGGTGCAGACGGTGCTACTGGCAGAAGCTCGCAGCAAAGGCCGGCAGATCGGCCTTGATGCGCGGCGTGTTTCAGACACAGTGCTCAACTCGTGCTTGCTCTCTGTTTGAAGGGGGGGAGAGGTCGAGTGTTGGCTTTGTGGCCCCGTGCTTCAAAGTCTTGCCTTTTTTCCTGTTGCTCGTGTGCGCGTGTGCGCGTGCGTGTGTGTGTGTGTGTGTGTGTGTGTGTGTGTGTGTGTGTGTGTGTGTGTGTGTGTGTGTGTGTGTGTGTGTGTGTGTGTGTGTGTGTGTGTGTGTGTGTGTGTGTGTGTGTGTGTGTGTGTGTGTGTGTGTGTGTGTGGGGGTGCGTGCGTGCGTGCGTGCGTGCGTGCGTGCGTGCGTGCGTGCGTGCGTGCGTGCGTGCGTGCGTGTGCGTGCGTGCGTGCGTGCGTGCGTGCGTGCGTGGGTGGGTGGGTGGGTGGGTGGGTGGGTGGGTGGGTGGGTGGGTGGGTGTGTGTGTGTGTGTGTTTGTGTGTGTGTGTGCGTCCGATTTCCCGCCGAATTCCGCCGTTTCCCATTACGCTTTCTGGGAAGGAAGTGCGCTACATCAAAGCGCCGACAAGTGACAAAACGCCGAGATGCAGGTCCCTGGTTTCCTGAGCTTCATACTTTTTGGGAAGAAATCTTGCCAATCCACTCAGGAAGTGAGTATATGTATATATACATATCCCCCCTTGTTTGATCTAAGGGCCGCCAATCATTTGGAAAATGCACTCCCCCTAATCCACAAGGTGTCTAGTTGCTCCATTTGCCTACTTGGGGCATACGTCAAATAAGTGGATAATAACAATCAAAAGCAAAGTTAAAAGTCCCTAAGTGGGTAATAACCCACAAGAGCCATGGTTATACATCTTTAAGCAGGTAATAACGCACAAAAAGCCATGGTTATGAGTCTTTACGTTGGTTATAAGACTCTAAGCGGGTAATAACCCACAAAAGCCATGGTTGTAAGTCTCTAAGTGGGTCATTACCCCACAAAAGCCTTGGCTATAAGTCTCTAAGGGGATAATACCCTACAAAAGCCATGGCTATAAGCCTCTAAGTGGCTAATTGGTAAGAACCCACAAAAGCCATGGTTATAAGACTCTAAGCGGGTAATAACGCTCAAAAGCCGTGGTTACAAGTCTCTAAGTGGGTAATTACCAACAAAAGCCATGGTTATGAGTTTCTAAGTGGGTAAGAACCCACAAAAGCCATGGTTATAAGTCTCTAAGTGGGTGATAACCCACAAAAGCCATGGTTATAACTCTAAGTGGGTAATAACCCACAAAAGCCATGGCTATGAGTCTCTAAGTGTGAAATCGCCCACAAAAGCCATGGTTATAAGTCTCCCAGCGGATAATAATCCACAAAAGCCTGTTGGTAATAGCCCACAAAAGCCTTGTCTAAGGGGATAATACCCTACAAAATCCATGGCTATAAGTCTCTAAGTGGCTAATGGGTAAGAACCAACAAAAGCCGTGGTTATAAGACTCTAAGCGGGTAATAACGCTCAAAAGCCATGGTTACAAGTCTCTAAGTGGGTAATTTCCCACAAAAGCCATGGTTGTAAGTCTCCAAGTGGGTAACAACCCACAAAAGCCATGGAGTCTCTCTGTTGGTAATAACCCACAAAAGCCATGGCTATAAGTCTCTAAGGGGGTAATACCCCACAAATGCCATGGTTATATATAAGTCTCTAAGTGGGTAATAACCCACAGTAGCCATGGTTAAAAGTCTCTGCATGGGTACTTACCCACAAAAGCCATGTTTATAAGTCTTTAAGTGATTTTCTCCTGACAGGTGTGGATATTGTGACGGACGACTTGTTCGAGGTCCTGTCCCCTGCGTATGGATTCTTCCACGAGGCGGAGGGAGCTGTGGGGTTTCCTTGTTCAGCCATCGGTGGCCTTTTTCTTCTTAGTTTGGGCCGTGAGATAGACGGGTTCCACTGGAATAGATGGCCATGGGTGAAAATCCCGTACCCGCAGTGAACGCAATCGCCATTAAAATAGACTAGAATGGGTTGTGCGCCTTCCCCAAAATGGTACCATTAGTTTTGACCCACAGCCAGATGAGTGTTATTGCACCATGTACCAGGGCCATCGCATTTTTGAGCCCCTTTTTAACGAACCTTCGAGGCGAAGAAGCGCAGCGGCACCATCTGATAGCCTGGTGCTACCTTCCTCAGCCAATTTCCTCGCCAGGGGTATTCATGAATCTGTAGAACTTCTAAGAAGAGTGGCTTAAACAAGTTTAAACAACGGTTGGCCCCGGTAGTTAGGACTTTGAGACGTTGTAAATTCGAACTCCGGTCAGACTTAGTAGAAAATGCCCTTCCTGAAACTGCACCGTTCGATTGGTTTGACCCGAGCTGCAGATGGATAAGATGGGACATGGGCTATAACTGGCTAACAAAGACTGGAGAGAGCACAGTGTACAGCGAACTTTACGAGAAACCCAACCACCCTGACCAATTGCCTTAAGCTTGACTGTGGCTCATTTTGTGGCTGTCATACGAGACAGAGACTGGTGCGTCGCAAGGCTCGCCCTTGACCGACGATCACTTTCACTTCCATTTGCTTAAGTGTTTTTTTCCCCTGTTGGTTTTAAAGGGAATTTATCACTACTGGATTTTTTTTCCAGGGGTCTTAACCAAATGGAAGTTCACGTCTAGTTGCATACTTTTGGGCTTTAGCTTTTTGGGAAACAGAGGATGTTCCATTGGCCCCACAGGAAAGAACAACTTTCTTCTAGGGGTTGATTCCAACCATTCTTTTCAACCATGGTTCTTTTCAAAAGCCAGCTGTTTCCCTGGGTTTTTGAGGTTTCCTGAAAAGAAGGATCCCTGGAAAGAGTGGGGAAAGTATCCCTAGATTTGTGCAGAGGGCAACAGCAACTAAGCAAATAGATGTTGCGATATGCCCCTGACGGGCGCGATCTTAAAACAACAAAACAGTCGGAATGTTTTTTGAGATCGAGGACACCGACCAAGGCAGAATCTTCCCCGGAGGTAGCTCCCAGCAAAACTCAACCACTAATACCATGGAAACAGATTTCTGCTCGACTTGCATCTTTTTCCTCAAGAAGGGCTCGAATAAGAAATAGTGCTCGTATGAGGAAAAAGCTAAAATATGTTTCACCCCAGAAATTTTGAAGCCACCCGCTGGTTCTTGTAGAGAGTAAACTCACTTGCCCAAAGCGAATCGACCTTTTGGCCTTTTGGTGTTTGCTTGGTGCATTTTGAGCCAAAGCCCCAACATGGCCTTTTAGTTTGGGTTCCGAAGGAGAAACTGAGTAAATGGGAACCCACCACTTTAGTGTACCTTCCCCATGCTTTCCAAGGGATCCTTTTTTCAGGCAACCATCAAATTGCCGGGACAAAAAGCTGGTTTGCGGAAAAAAAAGGAAGAACACAAGAAAGAACAATGCTTCAAAAAAGAATGGTTGGAATCAGCCCTAGAACAAAGTTGTTCTTTCCTGTTGGGCCAATGCAACATCCATTGTTTCCCAAAAAGTTAAAGCCCAAAAGTATGCAACTCGCCGTGGAACCACATCTTTCTTTTTTTTCTCCCCTTTTTTCCTCGGAACCACATCTTTTTTCCTGTTTTTGGCGCGGTCGTCTCCGCCGATTTCCTCAGAGTCGCAGGCGCTCAAGGCGAAGCTGGAGGGCGGGTTGTGCCATGTGCTGGACAACAGCGAGGACTTCTCTGGGCAGTACCAGGAGTTCATCAGCCAAGCGCCTCGGCCTACCCGACGCCTGCTCCCAACGCGCGCCCAAATCGGCTCCCAGCGGAAAGTTGGGGACAGATGTGGTCTGGACCCGGGGGTTTGATCCCAGCTTTTCCCCAACAGCTGAAAAGCTAAGGGGTCTAAGCCCAGATGAGGCTTAGGGGTGGCTCGGGGAGCTCTGGGGTGGTTCCGGCGATTCCGGGCTGGTTTGGTGCAGGCCAGGTGTAAGGGGCAAGGAAGGTTCCGGAGGTTCGGGGTGGTCTGGCGCAGGCCAGGTGTGCAAGGTTCAAGGAAGGTTTCTGGGGGGAAGGCCAGGTGTAGGGTTCAAGCACGGTTCGGGAGGTTCCGGGCAGGCAGAAAGGTCAAGGCAGGTTCGGGCGGTGGGTTCCGCGTGGGCAGTTCTGCGAGGGTGCGGTGTGGTCTAGCAGACCTCCGCAAGGGTCGAAAAAGAGCGCCGCATGCTGTTGGGGATATCACCTGAGTTTTTTCTTTGAGGGTTGCAAACATTGCACGTTCATGGCTTTTTCAACAAACTATAATTGCCTTCCCACCCTTTTAACATGAAACCGTTGGACGTGAAAAGGGGGTTCTGGTTTGGACCATTCTCCCTTAAAGGGACCGGGTCCGGAACGTCAAGTTCCATGTGAAAAGGGTGGGAGGGTAAATTTAATATTTGCTGCCACAGATGTGGCCCGGGCTTCCATGGCCGAATAAATGCTGGGGGGGGAGGTAAAAACAGCAGAGTGACACCGCAGCCAGGGTTTCCGTTGGCGAAATTTCCTCGGATTTAAAATAGAGTAATGTTTTTTTTGAAGGCCTGTCCCGGGCTTTCAAGATGGACCCCTTCGAGGCCACACTATGAGGGGAGGGGGAGGGGGGGGGCCAGACGAGACGAAAGAAAACGGACATGAAAGCGCAATCTGGAGAGCTGCGTGTGACACGCAGCCCAAAACTGGGCCACCTTGAAGATGCGCTTGCCCTTGAACCACGGTCAATGATCATCGACTTCCATTTGCTGGAACGTTTGTGTTCCTCCGTTTTTTTTTTTTTTTTTTTTTTAAATAATATCACTGGAATTCTGTCATTGTTTGTCCTTCTTCTCCCAATAAAAATGGATGTCTTCGTGGTTTGGGCCCGCGTGTTTTTTTCCACCTACCTGACGCACCCATGCCTCGATCTGTCTCTCCAGGCCTGGCCGGAGCCGGGCTCTGGTGCGCCAGTGGCCGCTGGGCTCCGAACATGGCGCCTCACAAAAAGTCCCAAGAGGCGACTCCTCACTTCGTCACTTCATGAACTTCAAACTTTTTGGGCTTGGTTGCCATTTTAGTGGTAAATGCAAAGTTTGGACTTTTTGTGGGCCATCCACTCAGCAAGAGAGAGACTGATCTCTCAAGTACCCTGACACAGGTGCCATGTCAGTGGGCGGAAGGGTAGTCCTTGGTTGGTGTCACAGGAAAACCACAACTTGGTGGTTCAACCCGTGTCATTCCACTCATAGTTAAAACGTTTCGCAGGGGATCTGAAAACGGACAGCCCAGAAAAGGAATGCCGCGGAAAAGAAAATTGGCTGGGGCCCCTATGTTTTTTTCAGTGGGGCTCCGTTTTTTCCCCAGCATCCCCAGCTATGGTTGATAGGCCCAGAGAAGCTCCATTGAGTGGTTTGGAGTGGCTGGGCCAACTTCAATGGAATCTACTACAGGCGTGGTGATGCTTGAGGGGGATTGTAGGGAACCAAGTTTGCTACCAGTTGGCTTTGGGCACGAACTACTAATTGTCAAACAATGACAACTGGGGGCTACGGTTTGGCAAAAGCAAGGTCATGTGATGATGTTGATTTGCCTCTGGTGACGTGCTGTTCTGTTTGTACCGGCCGGTCGCAAGGCTGGCGATGTGCATCGTAGTCCGTAGTTACGCCTTGAGCACATGGCAGAGTGTTGGATTCAACGTGTCCAGCCTCAATCTCAGTTGTTCAGTGGCACCTTTTTTTCCCTTTTCTTTTTGGTGGCTGCCCCACCAAAAATTGTCTTCCCAAAAGAAAAATCCATTTTTTTCCAGGGTCACTGAACAACTGAGCAACACATTGCAGCCTTTGAGGGTTGCAAACATCGCTTGTTCATGATGCTTTTCAACAAACCATAACCGCCCTCCCACCAATTAAAATGGGCGCGGTGGAAGACCATATTCCTTTTAAAGGGACCCCTATCTGGGAGAGTACATAGGTTTCAATGTTTGAGTGGGACATAGACTGGACATGTCAAAGTTGGGAATATTGGGCTGCGAAGCTGGTTCACGAATTGAGCCCTGGCCCAAATAGGGAAGCCGACAACCTTAATCCTTGATCCTTCATCTTCAGTTTCCTCGGGACCAACCTTTGTAACACTGTTGCTCAACATCAATCCTCAATCCTTTCGCTGGCGGCTTCCCGTGTTGTGGTGTTCCACTACGCATCAGCAGAAGGAATTCCACCCAGACAAAGGCGTTGGCTTCACAGTTTAAGTGACTTCTGCCTGCTTACTTGGGCAAATTGAACCGCCACCTTCCTGTTCTTTTCTACTCATGATCCGATTTCTTCAACCATGTCTAATTGTCCAGGTTGGAAAAACAAACAACATTTGGGACAACTCCTGGTGAGTTCCTTCGGGGTTTGGCGCAAACATTTTCTCCCATCCACGGAGGGCCATGTCCAGCCGTCTCATGAGTTGGCCCCCGAACCTCACGGTGGGGATTCCCCACAGGATCCGAACGGATTCATGTGTTCGAAGCCAAATGGCAGGGTTTCCGAACAAGGGCTCTGTTTTGAAAGCAAAAGTGGCGATCGGTTCAACGGAAACCACTTCTGAATTGAGATCAACTTTGGACATTCAGGGAAATCCAGCACAACCCCACGGATCCGTCACCCCAAGTCGAGTCCTACAAGATTGCGCGCGATGCTTTCACTTCAGGGCAAGATCATGCAGGCCGCAGAGCTCCTCGGAAGTGTCTTTTGGTAGACCGAAAATCCCCAGAACGATGGTCCCAACCCAAATGGAATAATTACCTGACGTGCCTTCAATATCGAAGCCAAGGTTGGGCATGTGTTTTCTGACCTTGTTTGGGGTGTTTCCTTTTTTGGTATGCTCTTTGGGATGCTATCCAACCTACTTGCCTGTCACGGACGTTATGAGGAATTCATACAAGTACACAAGTAGTCAGCTGCCTCAGCCTTGGGCGCGCGTATATCGTGCGTCCTAGATTTCACCCAGCGCATGTCCAAGACTTGTTCAGGTTCAGTGAAGATAACTTTCGTGCATTTTGCTTGGATGTTAGGACTTTAACTTTTGCCAACTAATGGGTTTTCCATTAAACCACTAAAAGTTAAACTTTTAGCAGGGGAGCAGAAAGCAACCGAGAAAATGTTGTTGCATTGGCTTCTGAAGCCAATCGGCAGCTTATGGCAGATCCAAGTTACACAACTGAGGCAGCGCAAGGAACTCGTGATTTCAGAGCCACGAGCGAGGAAGTTTTAAGCTTTTGCATTGTAAATGGCCTCTGATTTCAATCACACCAGTGGAATTGTGGGCAAGCCGGTCAACAGCCCGGCTGACAAAAGAGGACCTCACACACACACAAGCACGCGGTTTCCGTTTTTTTTCCGTCCAGTCAACTTGACCTAAGCCTAAGAGCCTATGTTCCCTTTAGAGAGCTGGAATGTGCGACATGTGGGTTGACCAGGAGCCTTTCTCTCCCTCGAGTTCATGGACTCCAATCACTTGGGTTTGGAGCATTTTGGTGGGAACCAAAGAGTTCTCAGTTGTTCGGCGCACCCTTTTCCCCTGTTGGTTTGGTGGCTGCCCCACTAACAATGCTCTTCCCCCGAAAAAAATGGTTTTCTTTTTTCCCAGGGTTTTTTGGGACCGGTCCCGGCAGTGCCATCCTCGCAATCCAACTCTTTGGATCAGTTCCGCAGCCCTCAAAAAGGGTTCAGTCCACGTACCGAAGTCACATGTTGGACGCGGCCAGGAAGATCCCCGCCCTCGATTTCTAGGTGTGCCAGTAGTGCCCTTCTACCCTTTTTTGGAGGGAGGGTGCCACTACTAAAATAGACTACAGAAAAAGAGGTACCCTTATTCTATCCTCTCAACTGGCGGACCTAGATTTTGTCGGTAAAGGGGTTGTCCTCAAGATCTTCAGTTCACTGGGGAGAAGCATGGGTTTGTCGCACAGGGCAACCCCCCCGAATAATGGTATGGTGTCCTTCTGGTTCCTTGTTAAAGCCAAACAAATGGCACCGGCTCTCAAGAAAGAGCCTTACTTAAAGGGGCAGGGCACTTAGCAAGGGGGTACTTAGCAAGGTTGCAGACCAAAGCCATGGTCTTATGTCTCCGTTTGGTTTCCCTCCCCAGGCTCACTCTCACCACTTATCCAACCTAGCCTACCTCCATCCCCACCCACCCCTCTCCGTTCAGTGGTTTCTCTGCCACCAGGCTTACCACTTACCTGACCTGCCTCAATCCCCACCCCTCGCAATCCCACGATGGGATTTGGGCGAGGCTCAAAATTGGAGAGCTAGGGTTACCAAACCGTGGGTTTTCGTCTTTGGTTCCATTTACCAAGATGCCAAGTTTTGGGTAACCACTTTTTTGAGCCGTAGGCATTCTCCCCACCCACCCAAATCCCGGCACTGACGCGATTTGGGTCTGACGCGATCTGAGTTTCCTGCCAAGCGTCCTTGACACTGCGGGCAACCTGACCGCCTGGGAGGCCGGGCTCCGCGGGCTCCGCGGGCTTCGCTTCGCGGAAACGTCGATCTGGATCGCCCATTGAAGCAGCGGGCGCGAGCCCTGTCGCACCTGAGTTCCGAAACCCGGACTTTGCTTGCTTTTCGGGTTTGGGACGGCCATCTGAGTTTCAAGCAACCAGTATTGACCTATTTTGGCCAACCCACTCAAGTGAGTTGCTTGGCGGCCATTTGGCTGGATCTTTGGACCCAAACACTGGTTGTTGGAGGTGTATTTTGCTCTCCAAGGTTCAAAACACCAAGTGCCCGAAGCACTGGGGGCAATCGCCAGCTTAAAGGATGCCTTTGGGCCAGTTGAAAAGTCAGCTACCCCAAAGCTGGCGGGTTGTTCCATGTTGCCATGGGTCAAAATCCAAAGCCCGTACCCCCAGTGAACCTCCCAATCCAACCACTCAAATAGGTTCTAAAATGAGCGGTGAATTCACCTACCAACCAAATGGGATCCCAAAACGGTTTTCAGCACCACAGCCATGTATCTTCTGAAACGAAAGGTTGCGGAAAAACAACTTCATCCCAGATGCGAGTTTTGCCGTTGCCAATGCTTTCGAAGGTTGGGACAAGGCCAAACCAGGGGGCTGTTGTTTTCCAGCATTCTGCTGGGGGCTGACCTAATTTTGCAAGGTCCCCCAGCTAGGTGCCCTTCTCTCCCAACTTTTTTTGGGGAGGGTTCCCCTCCTAAAATAAACTACAGACAAAAAAGGGTACCCTTATTCTAACCTCTCTACAGGAGGACCTAATTTTGGCAACACACCTTTTTCCCAGCTTTTAACATCGCTCCGCAAAAAAAAAAGAAGAAAAAAAAAGGCCACTCGCACGGTATTCATGGCTGCCCCGCCGGCAAGTACGGTTTTACAACAACTCAGAGCATATTCAACAAGTGCAAGCTTCTCCATGTCTGCCAAGCCAGTTGCTTCAGTCCCCAGTGATAAGCCCAACTTTTTCAGCTCGGACTGAAGTAACGGATGATGGACCCCTCTTTGTTTGATTGTTTCCGGGGTGTCCGTGCGTGCCCCAACCGGCCGCAACTGTTTGCCACACGACCACTCTTGGATCTCGAGACCAGACCCACATGTCCACATGTGTATAGAATTGTATACATACATGTATATATATATATACACATGCAGATACATATATATATATATATACCTGAAGCAACCAACGTGCCTTTTTTTTCTGGTACGAGAAACAAACGCTCGAATGACCGATTTCGGCTCGACCCCCCCCCCCCAAACAACGGTCGCACCCCGAAAAACGCTCGATCAAATCCCCTTCTTCCATCCGGAGGAAGGCGGGCAATTGTTACGTTCTAAAAAAAACAACAAAACAAGCACTCGTTTGCGGATATTTGCGCTCGTTTTGCACTTCGATTTCTGCTCGCTCCTTTAAGCGACCGATCATTTTGGAGGACTGATCAGCCCGGTTTTGGGAGAAACGCTCGAAGCAGGAAAACAAGTGTAATTACGTTTGCAAAATTTTGGTGATGACCCCCGGTTTTGCAATACGTTCGTGCTGGCCGAAATTTAGGTAACGAAGGGTGCTGGAGCCAGGTACCCATTAACTTGCGCATATCTTCCAATGAGATGGGCTTGATCCCTTCTTGAGAGCTGTTTTGGGAGTTGGGGCTTGTTTTTGTTTTAGTTATACAACCAAAAGGATGTCAAATACATAATTTCTGGTTTGGATTGGTTTGGATTTGGATATGAACCGCTTCTTGTAGAGGGTAAATGGGAAACTGTCACGCTTCTCGATACTTAAAGGGGCGAGCGATCGGGTACGTCAGGTAAGTGGTTCGTCAGCCTGGTTATGAGCGACCGAACAGAGAATTACAACCATGGCTTTTGCGGGGTTATCTCAGCATGGTTATTGTCCACTTAGTGGGTTAAACCAATTACAACCACTTCGCCATAAGAAAGATTGGGCACCATCGCACGTGGTCCACTGAGTTGTCACCCAAGCCACAAAGCACCTGACGTACCCGATCGCCCCTTTAAGCCTTTAAGTAAGCTCTTCCAGAGTGCCCTCTCACCCTTTTTCGGGGGAGGGTTTCCCTACTCAAATAGACGAAACAGAAAAAAGTTGGTACCCTTCTTCTAACCTCTCTACTGAAGGACCTAGGTAAGCTCCCCCCAAACCCCCGTTCAGAAAAGACCCGAATGTTGCTTGGCACGGTGGCTCCGCAGGTGGTGGCGGGCAAGCCGCCGCCTGCCAAGTGCATCAAAGATGCGGAGAGCCGGTCTTGCCGCAACGCCGCTCGTCAGAGGATTAGGCCGTCTTCGCTGGAAGCTAGCGCCGGATGTGATTAGGTGAGAAAGGGATAGATGGAGCAAAGGTTGATAGGTGACATCTCTTTCTCCCGGTCACCTCTCCCTTTCATCATTCCTTTCCTTTCATTTGCAAGGACTCATTTTCCCCTGTTGGTTTTACAGGGGGCAAAACAACTACGGGACAGATTTGCATTTAGGGGGCTTAAGGAAATGGAAGATGGGAGATGGTGCGGTTTTCCCAAACCACTACCTTCAAGAAAAAAACACAGGGTATACAACTACCATAGCGCTATGTAAAGCTTTGGAAAACACCCTGATTTCTCTTGGGGGTAGTGGTTTGGGGGCAGTGGTCATCCAAGAAGTTGGATGAAACTAGATCGGCACTTGTTTGACTTGGGGACGTGAACATCATTTCAGGCACCCCTCAACTGGCAGTTTGGTTTGGTGATTTGGTGCTTAGGGCTGGCTTCCCGCTTACCCTCTTCCAGAAGCTGGGGTTCGAATCCCCACCAATCCAAGCTGCCAATTAACATTCAGGTAATCATTTGAGCCACAATTAAAACCCGGTTAAGTGAAGGTTAGAAAGGGACGATCCCAGCCATAAATAGCTGCGGCCGCCTTCTTGGTTCTTTATATGGTTCTGGGTCGACCATTTGTGTACCGGGTTTTGATTGTGCATTTGAGTTTGAATGCATGTCTACCGGTTCCCTGTCCAAATGCATAGCCAGATGGCCACCATTCTTTGCTCACCCCCTTCTCAGGCCGATTTTTTTAGCCGTGAATAAAGGATCAATGCCCTAGGGTTCAACTCCTGTTAGAAAATGCTTGGCGCAATCTAGATGACAATCCTGGGGTAAACAATGGTGACCGGTGATCCTAACCTCCATGAGTTTAATGCATTGAATCCCAAGGAATGAGTGGGAATCCTAGAAGGAAATGGCCATGGAAAGGGAAGGGTCATCAGTTTATGTCATCCCTTCGCTTTGGAATGCTGAAAAATCAAGGGCCTCCCAGAGTCAACACTCTTGCCAAAATGAGCATTCATTTCTGACATGATTTTCTGATAATTATTTGTGATGTATTTGTTTTCTAGGCGAGTTTGGAGGTGCCGTAACCCATCCTTTACCCTCATTGACGAGAGACCCATGCCTTGCCTTCTCTCACCTCTCCTCTTCATCATTTCACTCTCGATACAAGAGTTGGAGAGGGAGAAGCTTGGAGAAGAAAAGAGAAGAAAGGGATGAGTCCCTATTCCATGTCTAGCAATTCCCAATGAAGGATGAGATGAAGGATAGGGATCAAGAGAGACTCCCAACAAAAAGAACACTAAAGCATTGAGTGCATAATGATCACATCATAACATGATACAATAAGCGGCAGCAATGTAAGATGAAAAATCAGTAGAGATACTAAATGTCAAAATACATTTATTGGGCAAATATAATATATTTGCCCGATGACTATGAGTGTATGCTTATAAGGACAGAAAGTTTACATTACTTCATCAGAGATTCCATCGATGAATGCAGATAGTAAATCATAGATGCATAAGCCTTTGCGGCATGTTGTGGCTAGTGAACACATATAGTCAACTAGTAACATAGAAATTAGAAGTGTCAGTCGCTCTGACTTTCCTATGATTATTGTGGTCTTCTCTCGGTATCTCCGTTTGTCTTCAAGAGAATCCTGCAATTTGGACAGTACTAAAGTCTTTGTTTTCTGTTCTTTTTCATGAAGCTACATTCCATCTGTAAACAGATACAACACACACAAGTACATTTGCAGAAAGACAAATACATCGAGAAGTACATAAACAAATAACTCAAAAAGATGTTTAACGTTGCACAAGCAGCAACTTGGCTATCTAGGCACTTTGAATCAATGGAAACCATCGCTTGGTATGGGAATCATGAGTCCAGAGCTTCTAAGGTTTCGGTGTTTCTCAAAGATCCTTCCAGCTGGTTCTTGTTCAGGAGGCTCGTACGACTCTATAGAGCCCAAAGAAAATGATTTCACAATGTCAACTCCTTCAGGTAAGCCTCATTTCAATTTTGGAATGAATAGCTTTGGCACATGTATCAAGCCGATTGAGGGATGATATAGTTCGCTCAAAGAACCGGTTAATTTGCAGCAACTTGCCACATTCATCAACCTGGGCTTTCCATTTGATTTCCTGATTGAATGGTTAAACCCAGCTTTGCCCTGTGCTCCCAGTTCGAATCCATGAAGCGGGAAGTGCACCGATCCTTTTAGAAAACTGCGTTCCTTTTTTGGATGGGGGGCCTATGCACTTTCGCCATTGTCGATGAAAGGCTAACGGAGACTACTTGCACTTTCCCCGCAGACTAGTTGCGTTTTGTTTGAGCGTACCCTTTTCGGGATTGGTTGAAAGGGAAGCACCATTAGGGACAACCACAGGTTTGGTTGTGCCCCTTATATCGCCGCATACCGACTTAGTAGCTACTCACTTGCCCAAAGCCGACCTTTTCGACCTTTTGTTTTTTTCCTTTTGGTCAATGTTTAGTGGCCCCTGAAGGTCTTCACCTTGAATCCGGGTCCCATGCGGGGCAACTGAGGCTAGAAAAAACAATATACATTTTTGCGCGGGGTCAGAGACCTGTCCTAAACTCGCTGCCACAAATACAAGTCCTCGATTCGTTGATTGTTTGGTGAGGACATGGGGGGGGCCACCCGCATTCTTCCGAATTTCCCGCCCAACTGGTCCATGTCCTTTGGAGGACATGCTCGTTGTGTTGTGGTCGCTGCTTGATCGAATTGCTTGTTGACTAGTTCTTAGAAGCCACCACTTTTCCCGCATTTGTTGAAGAAGGATTCCTGAAGAGAATGGGAACGGCACGAGACTTGTCCTGTTTGGATGGGAAATTGTATCACGACACTGCCCTGCTTCCGAAGAATGGAATCTGCATAAGCGGGCAATATCCCGGCGAGGGTATGAATAGTCGCGCAACGAGAACAACCACCACATGAACCTCAGGGATACTGTGGGTGTTACGCTTTGCTGGGGTATGTCTTAAAATGGTGGACCCCCTTTTGGTAGCTAAAACTTTACGGTTGTTGGCATTTTTGTTTAAGGGCTTTTTTCAGGTTCTGTTCATGTTTAGTTGGGGGCTGCAAAAAAGAAAGTGTGCTGCTACCCTACCAAGAGTTGGAAAGAAAGGGCAACCCAAAAGGAAGCCGACTATTGCGGGTGCACCGTTGACATGTCCCACCCTCAGGTTGCAGCACTGGATCCGCAAGTTGGAGCCCCCAGATAATTCCGCACACTTTTTGCTGGCATGTAAAGGAAGACCAAAAAGAAGAAGACACCAACCGTAACCTTTCCCGATTGTTGGCGCACCCCCGTTTGTCCTTCTCGGACGCAGCCCTTTTCCCACTCCCTGAGTTCCGTTTCGAACTTAGTCACTTTTTTGGACCGTTTCAGTGGTTACCAAGAAGTTCAGACTTTGTTTTGCCAATCCCATGGTTGTTGTTGGGAAACATTTTACATCTTTGCTTATTGTGGTTTAATGGTTGAAATCCAACCACTGAACTGCACAATTTATTTTTTACTCCCCTTCCAACGTCAACCACAATCCACTGCGTGAAGTTTTGGGGACCCTGTTGGGACATTGATCCCGATGAGAACCCGAATGGGCACTCGATAGGTGGAGCAAGCGAGCTGCCTGTACTGCCTCGGTTCCATGGAGACGAATGGCGCGTATTGGCACCTCATCCGTTTCGCGAAACGGCCGTTTCGCCGGGGTGACCGGGGAATGGGAGGGTCTGATTAAATGGGGGGGGGGATGGGGGGCAAACTGGGGGTACCTTTTCCCGCAGGAACCGGTACCCTGTGGTAGTTGAAAGTCTTTATTGGCCCCTGGATCTAAAAAGGCGGGCAAGGTTTTGTTGGTCCGCAAGGCCTGAGGGGGAAATTAAAGGCCGCCCAAGAATGAGTGAAGGCAATTTGGCTTTCTCCCCCCCCCCTTCCTACTGAGTGACCTACGAACTCCCGGTTCCAAGCCGCTTACTTAAAAGGGTTGTGGGGGAGGTTTTCTTGGAGGGTGCCTTTTCTCAGTTGTTCACTGACACCAATTATTTTTCCCCTTTTTTTTGGTGGCTGCCCCACTAAGAATGGTCTTCCCCGAAAAGGGTAGTCCCTTTTTTTTCCAGGGTCACTGAACAACTGAGTTTTTGTTGCAGCTTTGAGGGGAAGGCCATTTTCGAGGGAACCCCCACGGAGACCACGATGGTTTTGGGTCCCAGTACTGGGCTCGGGAGCGTCTTAAACTGGGCTCATTTCAGCGTGTCCTTCGAAAATCACCATGTTCTTGTTCGAAGGAAAGCCAGTGCTTCCAGTTCCCACTATAGTGGGAAACGAGGTATGTTTACCTCCAGGTTTTACATGCTGGTTTCCCCTGGCTATATACTATGGTGGCTTGCCCGGAAGCAAGCAATTTGAGCCCCTTTCGTTTTGCCCGCAGAAAAAGCTGGATGCAACAGTACTAGGTCCCCCAGCTAGGTTCCCTTTTACCGTGTCTTTTTTGGGTTCCCCTAAAATATACTACAGAAAAAAGACGGTGAGGACCTAGAGTAAATACCCAGCAGGCCCCCTATGAACGATTGCTGGGCCCTCGAAAACCATTCCCACCCAGATGGGAGCGCGGCAACTTTTCTGCAAATGGGTCTGTTTTTAGGCGACCCCCAAAATGGTGGTTTTCTTTTGGTATCCCTTTACAACCGGAACCCTCAAAAAAAGACACCCAAATCGTCCTGGAATCTAACAACATGCGTTTTTAGACTTGAGGAAAACCTTTGGAAACCCGTTTGTTTTTCCTTCGGTTAATTGGACCTGACCAATTTCCGTTGTGTTGAATCATTTGGCGCAGGCTTTCATTTCTTGACTACCTGGAGGTAGGCCTAAACCCTGTTTCTCTTTTGGGGGCATCAGCCACCGGGTCCAAGTCTATTTTGGCCCAAAACATTAAAACATATTTTGTGTGTGTTGCTTCTATGCGGTGGCTAACGGATTTGGATTTGAGCCCTTGTTCTTGTAGGTTCATGGGAAACCCAAGCTCCTCTCTCAAAGCACTGAATCAAATCGCCAACTAGGGACCTGGATCTTCAACCAAAGTTACACTCGTAGGGGACCAAGCCCTGTTACACTCAGTTCTTCAGTGGCACCAATTATTTTTTTAGTTTTTTTTTGGGTGGCTGCCAACCACTAAAATGGTCCAAGCCCCAAAAAGGGTGCCAATCCTCTCTTTTTTTCCAGGGTCACTGAACAACTGAGTACAGTTCCAAGCACCATCCAACTTACCTGACGTTGGTTGGATCCCGGTAGATATAAACGGCTGGTTAGGTCCATATATGAACCCATTTCCTTTTTGGACCGCTTGGCTGCTGATTCCCCCATAATGAAGCCATATAACTAAGGGTGAATTAACCCATAAACACAACCGGGTTCATACCAGGAGTTAATACATATATATATATATATACATAGTGGTGATGTCCAGCCATCTCCGCAGGTGTTTAGATCTTTTTAGTTGGTTTAGTGTTTGGGTTTCCGAATTTAAGCCACTCAAATTTAGTCGCTTTTAGCAGGGGATCGGACTACGGGCAGCCCTGATATGGACGTATTCGATTGAAGCTAAGATCGGTTGCTGACCTCACTCCCTGAATTCCCGGACAATGTTAGCCGTAAAAAAAACCATCAAGCTCAGACTCTTAGCCAATCTACTTTGGAAGTGAGTGCTTAAGGTGACTTACGCTACCTACAATCCCACCAAGAAAGCAACCCTCACACATGGCCATGGGTCAGAAGCGCGTACCCCCAGTGAACATCCCAATCCCCACTAAAATAGACTAGGATGGGTGGTGCACCTACCCCAAAATGGGATCCCATTGGTTTTGAGCCACAGCCATACGGACCTGAGTGATAGATCAGGTCTCAGATGGGGATGATGGTTGCCACGGTCACCAACGCGCTGGCCGATGTCACGAAGATGGGAAAGGCCACACAGGACCAGAGCCTCGGTCTTTGCTTAAGAATATAGTTGTTTACATTGTGTGTGTGTTTTTTTTGTTTTTTTTTTAGATCCTGTTTTTCTTTTGTTTTCTAAAAAAAACTGGCTGGTGTTGAAGTTGGTGGGAAGGGAACCGTGCCTGCGCTGAGGGTATCCTGTGAGAAAGTGATGGTGCCTGCGGGTTCATGGGTTCTATCTTGTTTGTTTGCCCTTGCGAGTTTTAAAAGGGAGTCTATCACTACTGGAAGTATTTTATGCATTATTTTTCTGCAGGGGGCGAGAAAGCAGATGGACAATGTCGTTGGCGTTTCCGTAGGTTTCTGTCGGATTAAGCAGAACCCCCAGTTGAGTTTCATCGGGGGGTGTCCCCTTTTAGTGGGGATTCAGAGCACTTTTGGAGGGAACACCCCCCCCTAATAATGGGACGGGTTTATCAATCCTGGGTCAACATTCAGGGAAAACTGGAGCCATTTTCAGTGGTTACCCCTATTTTGACATGCCTGGTTGCTTTTTGAACACTGCCAAGCTTCAACTGACCTCGCTGTTGTTTCCATCTTGTTTGCTCATTCGCCCTGCCCTTTTGCCTTGAAATGGAACATTTCAGATTGCCTTTCTTTTTGTGATATCCTTGTGCTACCCTCTGCGTACTTCCCCTCAAAACGGAAGGAATCAAACCGGGGGAGGTCTCCATTGCATCGCAGCTCGGCCCCATGAAGATCCCCGAGCAATTCTTCGGCACCGAAAAACCAACGAGGTCCCCCAGTAGTGCCCTTTTGCCCCTTTTTTGGGGGGAAGGTTCCCTGGATCGCCAGTTGCTGTTTCTTTTTCTTTTTCATCCACTTTACCTAAAAAACCAGCAACCGTGATTGAAAAAGAAGCAACTTGGCTATCCAGGCCCCTACTAACATAGGCTACAGAAAAAAGACGGTACCCTTATTCGAACCTCTCTACTGGAGGACCTAGACAAGAACTGCTTTCGACCTTGGCTTTGCTTCGTTTGCCTCACAGATCCATAGGTGCATTTTGGGTTTGAGGGAAGCGCCCAATAGGGATTCTCCTCTTCTGAGATAAGCCCAAATGACCGCAATGTACCATGGGCAGTGCCAGGCCGAAGAGACCTATCATTGGGTATGAATTCCGGTTGGAACACCCTCAATGGCCGGTGGTTGCACACGTGACACGTCCCCCACCAAAATGGGTGATTATAACCTACTTTCTTTCTTGGTTGAACATCCAGGTAGATCTCAGAGTTATTTGGGCGACGGGTGCATATGAGTGCCCAGCAACATCAATTGCTGCAAGAGACCGATCTGTGACCAGCAAAATACCGCCGGCCCCCCCCCTCCTCCACCCCAAGTCTGCAGAACTTGTGGACCATCCAAGAACAGCACAGTTATACAGTCCATTGCTTGTGTGTCCTTTGCTCGACTGCTATTGGGTTGATGTTTAGACTTAAACAATTTTGGGAAATAAAGGTGTTTTCCACTAAACCTCCAAAAAGTTAACTTCTGGCAGGGGGGTCAACAGCAACCAAGTTTGTACCAATCTGGGGCCTCGTCATTTTGCTTTGAAAGACTCCCGAGGGAATGCATCACGTACTTCGGCAAGCTGACAGCGTGAGCCAGCTCACAGCGAGGTCCCGAAATGGGGGGCAGCAGCCAACGTGTGATCTGCCTGCAAATGTCCTCGGGCATAGCCAAAGCCCGAATAATTGGAGGGTAGGGGACATGCCAGCCATAAACTGGTGCGGATATCCGCCGTTTCAAATCTTGCAGCATGGTGCTGGGTAGACCATTGTGAGCCCCGACTCTGTGGCTGTTGAGCGGCTCAAGAGGCGTCCTCAGGAAAGTGATTGGGCACTTGCTAGGGGCTTGAGACGTCAGGCGGCCGCGCTTGCTATGCCAAAGCCAAGGAAGCGAAACGCCGCGCTCCGTGGCGAGGTCAAGCCGCGCGAGTTGGCGCGCGACGCGCCGCATCCCGAGAAGCGAAGAGCGGCGTCCGCTCTCCGCGGCAAAGTCAGGAAGCGCAAGTTGGGGCAGGCCTACCCCTTCACGTGTCTGACCCTGTGGTGTCTGTGGTTACAGCATGTCTTGCAATTTGCGGGCCCCGGTCGTTTAACTGGGAATAAAATCCAGGGTCTGGTTGGATCCGTGCCACCTCCAATGCGGAAAATGGAGAACTCGGGATGCGGTGACAGGGAGAGAGACGAGAAGGCTGAGAAAAGGCCAACCTCGCAGCCCGTTTCGCGAGCAACTTTGGTGCAGTTTGCTCGGATGTTAGGACTTTAACTTTTCGCCAACTGTGTTTTCCGTCTTAAACCGCTCAAAGTTATTCACTTTTTGCAGGGGAGCAGAGTTCGCCACCGCGAGTAGCTTCTTGACTCGGTTTCCCTAAGCCCTTGGATTGCTTGGCTTTTCTCTTCCGCCGCGGGGTGTTCACAAGAGGTTGGCGTGGACCTGTTGAGCTGCCAATGTCGGGCATCTCAGTTGTTTTTTGGCTTGGGTTTGATCATGGCTGCACATATGTTTCAGGTAGGCCTTAGTCTCACTTCCTGAGTTCATGAGCTTTAAACTTTTTGGGAAGACCATTTTAGTGGCAAATACAAAGTTTGGACTTTTTTTGGGCCATCCACTCAGCCAGTGAGTAGTTGGTGGTTTGGATTGGTGGTTTGGATTTGGGTTTGAACCCCTGGCTTTTGTGGGGAAAAGGGACACCACGTCCGTTTCACCACCAAACCACCGGGCGCCAAACCAGGGGTTAGAGGGAAGCTGAATGTTCAACCAACTGATTCAGTATGTTATAACCATGATTACAAGGGGACCAACCCGAATTATCCAAGTTTTATATCCAACCTGACATTGGTTGGCTGCAAACATGTTGATTCCTTTGCACGGATCGTGCAAAGGCCGCTGATGGGTATTAAATTATTACCCACGAATCAATCGCTTCCGGCTGCATTGGCTCACTCGCGATCGAGTTCATGTTGGATCTCTTTGTCTTGTTCCTTAGGTTTTTGGATCTCTTTACTTTGTTTTAGCGGCTGGCAATCCGAATGTCGGCCACTGACAGTTCGTCACTTTGGCAGAAAAGGCCATGTTCGTGGCAAGCCAACCGCTTGCGCACCTTTTTTTTCGGCCACTCGATCGGAAATGAGCGTTTGGGCCATGTCCATTGGGATCCCAGTTGCCCAGGGGCAGCCTTTTTTCCTCTTTTTTTTGGGAAGGGTTTTCCCTTTACCAACCCCAAAAGGATGCCGATTCTTTTTGGCCCCGGGAAATCCACTGGGCATCTGAAGGAAGGGCCTGTTTAACTGCCGCGAGCTGACGGAATCGAATGTTCACCCCGGATTAAGCAGAACCCCTGGTTCATTAATAGGGGGGAGTCCCCTTTCAGTGGGGATTCAGACCACTTTTGGTTGATTTTCATCGGGCGGTGTCCAATTCCTTTTAGTGGGGATTCAGGCCACTTTTGGAGGGAACACCCCCCCCTAATAATGGGACGGGTTCTATGTAGATCCTGGGTCAACATTAGCAAGGAATCAGTACTCTTTTTCATGCCCAGCGGGGATGCAGGTCTTCGGTGATGAGCTCGTGTGAGCGACTGGTTTTCTTTACAGAAGACAGCAAAGGCCGGGAGGAAGCTTTCTGCTTGACTAACATACTGAATTGGGTGCGAAACGAAGTAGAACACCGCCAAAATGAGGCAGGGCCATGACATGCAGGCGCGGGAGATCACAAGCACATGCGGCGTTGGAAATCGAGGTCAATGTGTCGAAACGGGTGCAAGGGTTGGAGAACGAGGTGGCAACACCGGCCAATTCAATCATTCAACTGCCGTAGATCATATGAATCCATGTGATCGGCCGAGACTTACGTGAAAAAGGGTGTGCCTTGTTTGGAAAAAAGCACGAACACATAAACCACACATGGGTGTGTTTTTTTTGAGGAACCCATGGTTTGGTGGTTTTAAAGGAAAACTTAATGGAACCCTAGCAAACACGCCCACATCCCTCAGATTTCAACGAACCTGGAGTCTCCATGTAATGCCAACCCCAGAGTCAGCGACGCAAAAGCGATTCGAGCTCCCACTTAAATGGAACATAGTGAAACACCTTCCGGTTTAGCAACTGTCTATTCATTTGGGATCGGGGGCGCAAGCGCGCACACACACACACACACACAAACACACAAACACAGAAACAAAAGCAAACACAACGTCAGACAAATACGCAACCACAAACACACCAACACACACACACAAACAATCAAACAAACGCAGAAACACACAACCATGCACACGCTTAACGACGCGTAAACACACGAGGCTACACACACACACCCACACGCAATGATACAATTGGGACAAAGCAGGGGCCGAGACAACCCTCCATGTCGCCTCTCACTTTGTTGCCTCGCTCGCTGATTGGCTGCAGTTTAGTGGATCCGGCGGACAGGGCGCCCTGATCAAGCCTTTGACCAAGCCAGCATGGGTTTATGCGGATCACTCGGGTGTGTGTTTATTTAGGGGACCCCCTCAAAAAACAAATGGTGTTTTTCTGTTTGGTTTCCCTTAGGGGACGGGGGGGGGGAAAAACAAAAAAACGCCAAACAACGGGCACCGTTAAAAAAAGACACACCCATTTGGCGGACTTCGTGTTGTGGCCGTTTGTGTTCAGGCGTGTCCCCAAATCATAAAAAAAAGGAGCCGGGCCGCCGGAAAGCCGGCTGCTTTCCTGGCGGTTGAGCCTTGAAAAAGGGAACACGTTGCCATGACAGATTCTTCACTGTTCTTGGATCATTAAAAAAAAAAATGTGTTCATTTGTACGGGTCTGCAAAAACCAGTCAGTTTTTTGCTACCATACCAAGAGTAGAGATGAGATTGCCAGTCATGTTGCTACTCTTGCGGAATGGTAAGCCGAATTCAACCGCTTCTCATGAATATATATATATATATATATATCCCAATGAGTTTGGAGAATTCCCTAGTTGCCCAGCTTCCACCTTACTTGGTTCATTCCCATAAATTTCTTAAGAACCAGCACCTGAAACCTGGGCTTCCAAAAGGGAGCCGCACTCACTGGCTCGCATGGCCCTGTCTGCCCGCCGCGGTCGGGTGGAAAGATCCTTTGCGGCTCCCGCCTGAGAAGAGCGAGAGAGAGGGAGAGAGACCGCCAACCCCTTTTCCCCTGAGAATTGGAGAGATGTCGGCGCCCAGGATTAACACAAAACGCTGGTTAACACTCACCCCTTGCATCTGGAGACCGATTTTGTTTTTTCCCCTGAGGATGCCGATTCGCTTTTTTTTCCTGGAAAGCCACTGGGCCTCTGAGTAACTTCCATTTGCTTAGGAGGATTTTGTTATTTTCCCCTGTTGGTTTTGAAGGAAAACCACCACCACTGGGAATATTTGTATTTTTTCCAGGGGGCGAACACGCACATGGAAGGTAATGAAGGGAGGGCCGGAAGTGACTTGGGCCGCAAGCTCATTGACTCGGTCCAGCGATTGGTGCTCTTTTTGTTATCCCAACTTTTGGTGGTTGGGAGGGTTCGGGACCCTACTAAAATAGACAAAAAGGAAAAAATGGTACCAACTTATTCTAACCTCTCTACTGGAGGACCTATGAGAAGGACAGAGAGAGAGACCCTGCATGCAAGGCTCCCTGAGTCCCGGCTTGGTTCCCACTGAACCTGGATTTTGGGGTGCCGGTGTTCGGTAGTTCCATCGTCACTGGGCAACTGGGTGAAGTACCATCTGAGCCAATCCTTGGGGATTGGTACCTGAGCAGCGCGTCAATACTTTCGTCCATCTTTGGCAGAGGGAATGACATTGCATACCGGCTAAACTCACCATGTTACCCGCACCATCAGGGAATTGGGGTTACTCACCAAAATCCATGTCACGGATGTGGCTCGCATAGATAGGATGTTTCTTGTTTGAGATAAACTCCCTTCGTGGAAGTGTTTTTCACTTGAAGCCGAAAGGAAAACATTGACATTTTGAGGGTTCCAATTCTCATGTTCAGACAACCCCATCAACATGGTACGTTGGCTTGCTTGCTGTTGGGTTGGATCTTTAGACTTCAACTTGTTGGGAAATCAAGTTTTTAGCCCACAAAACGTGATAAGCCTTTGCAGTCTTGCCAGCAAGTTGAGGAAACCAAAAGGCTTGCACCACTTCATGGACCCCCCAAACTGGTGGTGTTCCTTTGATTTTCCTCTCAACACCAACCAAACAGGGTCCCCCCCCAAAAAAAAACAACAACAGCATGTACTCCTTTGGGTCATGCAGCTTTTTCGGGCACTGCTTCAGTGAGCTCGCTGGATAACTTATCGATTCCGAGGATGGCCTGCAGGGTCACAAGTTGCTCCATGAGGCGATCTGATCGCTGGAGATGTGAAGCCCTTCTTGAGCACCCGCCTAAGGTTGACCCCGCGTTTTGCTCAACCAATCTGTTTATGAAAAAAGGGGGGGCGCTTTTCCCTGGGTGAAATGTGGTTGGAATCAGACCACTTTTGGAGGGGCCAAAACCATCCTTGTAGTACACGGGTTGATTCATATGGGGTCAACATTCCCGTAGAGGCTTGCTGAGAGATTGGGATAGGTAACTTTGGCCGGAACCGGGCGCGAAGATTTTCAGACACAGTCCTAAGTCGCTGGCAGTTGAAGTGTGATGTGTGCCGATGTCATGTGAGCCACAATCAAAACCCGGGTAGATGAAGGTTAGTGAGGGGCAGTCCCAGCCAGAAATAGTTGCGGCCGCCTTCTTAATTCTTTACATGGTTCTGGGTAGACCATTTTAATGCCGGGTTTTGATTGTGACTCATGTTGTGTTGAGGAGTCGGAAGCATTCTGTGGGAGCTTGTTGCGATGTTCTCAGGGCGTCAGTTGGTCAGAATGACACTCTGGGATTCGCGAAGAAACCAAGAGCCTTCTGCAATGAAACACGAGTCCAAGCGAAGCAGCTTGCTCATGAGCGATGGTGAGCCTGAAGCTTTTTGGAGGATGATAATCATACCTTGGCCTTCGCAAGCAGGGAGCTGAAGAGTCCGGCCACATGCAAAGGCCAAGGTATGATTTC